ACTGTACATGAGGGTTTGATTATATCTTTATTGATGTAATTTGTAAATATAGTACTAACAAAATGGAGTTCTTAAAAAAAACTCTTATTTTTTTCAATAAAGTGTACCAATTTTAATATATAAAAACATTACAGTTTATATCAGCACAATCCAAAACTTTTTCTCATTCAGTATTTCTCAGAAAAAATCCTCTTTTAGGAAATGTTCACTTTTTTTTTTTCTAATTTTTTTTCGATGAGCTATGAATACTATGATTAGTAAATACTAGAACAAATAACCATCCTATGGGTGGCATTTCTGCTAGTAAGTAAGAATTTAGTCATTGGCCAGAATAATTTGTCATTTCCTACCATGTTCCATAAACCTAACTAAGTTTAAATGATGACTTATCATAAAAAGTAATTTCTGTAGGTTTCAAGTAGGTATAATTTAACATGAAAACATTTTCAGGAATAAATAGAACATCTAAAGAAACTTTAAAAAATTTTCAGGTCTCTGCTTTGTTCTTATTGTCTAATCTTTTCTTTAGATTCCTTTGTTTAACCCTATAGGAGTTCTAGGTAGCCAGTACCTCAAGAAATCATGAATTATTGCTCAAACCATTTTATTTACTCAGTATTGACATAGTTAGTTTCAGTCTGCTCTGTTCAATCATATTTATTTGTTTGCTCAATCCATTTTCTATGTTTCATTAGTAATAGTTCAGACCACAAACTGTAACATCTTAAAAGGGTTAAAACACAGAAATGTAGTAATAAAACCATAAACAGAGAAGGAAAGCATGAAAAACAAGGTATGAATCTTTATATTTTCATATATATATTTATATATTTTTCATTTACAGTACTTAGAGACCAACCTGGGATCATTCCTGTTGAGGTCTGGTAAGTATTGCAATTGACCGTGTTGTTATAGTTTGACTGAGATATTTTATTGAGACCAACTGTTTAGCATAGAGTTTTGTTTTTATCTTAAAAACTCGTGAGTACTTGTGTGTTTCAGTGAAGATGCACATATGTAATGCAAAAAAATGGATTTTATGGCAGTCAAGGTTTTGCATTATTGTACATTTGAAATTTTATATCTGATAATAATATAATCATTTTGATAACAATTGTCTATATTTGTAATATTATTATTCTAATATCTTTTACTGTACAAAACGTTATTATTATTTTTTATCATATATATATATATATATATATCCCCCAGTGTCTTAATGGTAAGTCTGGAATTACAACACCAAAAATTGTTTTCAATACCTGTGTTGGGCTCAGTACAAATAACTTATTGTGTAGCTTTGTGCTTAACAACAAATAAACATAATATATTTAAATGTGATGCTGTATGGAAATCACCTTCTTTGTGTCTTTCTTTCCTAGACAAAGATGAAGACCTTCTTGTTGGAGATCTACATATTGTAACACAGCGACTTCACGGTCTAAGTCATCCAATAGGTATAGGTTTCATACAAGTTCAGTTAGTTTAAGTTAAACTGTCAGAGAAATAGTGGAATCAAACCATGCTAATGTATATTAATATATGTGTAATATGTATAGTTGTGATGATTATCTTCATACTTATACTTTTAATATGGTGACCAGTGTTAATTTTTCCTACCCTTACTAGGTTAATCTTTAGTTGTGATCTATGTAAGTAACATTCTTTACTCAGAAATTATTTATAACTTTATGATTAACTCCAGTGGATACTGTTTTCACATGGTCTCAAGCCAGGATCAAATAGATTGGCTTGTTGTTTATACAGATCTTTTGTGTTGTGAACAATGGAATACGTAATTTTAATGCCAGCTCGGGTGATAATTCTTCCTTTTGTACAAAATGTCACCTGCTTTCAAGTTGATTGTTGAACTAGAAGAACTGTTACTTTTGTACAAAATGTCATCTGCTTTCATGTTGTTTGTTGCTTTTGTAGATATGTCATCTGATTTCACATTGAGTGGTGAACTAGAGGAAGTGTTATGTTTTTTGCTTTTGTGCAAAATGTCACCTGGTTTTATGCTAATTAGTAAACTTGAAAAACTGTTATATTTGTTGTTTTGTACAAAATGTCACCTGCTTTCATGTTGCTTGTTGAACTAGAAGAACTGTTGCATTTGTATAAAATGTCACCTTATTTCACTTTGATTGGTGAAGAAGAACTGTTATGTTTGTTGCTTTTGTAGAAAATGTCACCTGCTTTCATGTTGATTGGTGAAGTAGAAGAACTGTTTTGTTTTTTATGTTGATTGTTGAACTAGAAGAACTGTTGCTTTTGTATAAAATGTCACCTGCTTTCATGTTGATTGGTGAAGTAGAAGAACTGTTGATTTTGTAGAAAATGTCACCTGCTTTCACTTTGATTGGTGAACTAGAAATGTGATGTTTGTTATAATTGACAGATAGTGGTTATAAACACCATATCTTCAAAAGCTATTAATTTATCTTACATAAACTTAGCATTTATTTTAAATGTTTTTGTAATTTGCAAGCATACTCTTTCTTTACCTAGATGTGTTCATCTGTATAGAGGTGGACTCATATGGACATTTCTTCAAGAAAGCCAAAACAAAAACATTGAAAAATAGCATAGAACCATATTTTAATCAGGTATTGTTGTTGTTTTGTTTAATAGACTTGGCTGATGAGAATCATTGGTGATATATATAAGTAACTTCAGTTGTTTGGCATTTTAATGTATTTTAACAACAAAATTTTAAAAGAAGCTACTTTAGGTGTGTTGTGAAAAAACTACAAAATGTAGGCAGATCATGACAAAGATAACACAAATATATGGAAAATAATGCAAGAAATCATACAATTTTTGTTTTTTAAAGATATCTTGCAATTGTTAAGAAAAATGTACTGAGCAATGATTATTTGAGTAACTGTAATGTTTGAAATAGAGAGTGAGTCAAAAACTTGTGGAGATGTGGAAGAAGACAGATATTAGGCATAGTAATTAAGACTATCACATTTAGTATCCAGTGGCTTTTGTCTCACTTTCTATTCACAATAGTTTAAATTCCTTATTGTGATTAATCTTTCCTAATGCTTTGTTTTTTTAACTTAAAGTGGTTTTAAAGATCTTAAGATATAAAAGGTATCTGATAAAATTTATCAAATTATTCAAGGATTTTGTTATTGAGTTGGAGGGGTCACAGACTCTGAGAATTTTGTGTTATGAAGACCATCCTAGTCAGGGAAATATCCTTCGGGGTAAGGCGGCTCTTGAACTAAGTCGATCATGGCTCACAGACAAACTTCAAGAAAAGTCGGTCAGTCTGCAAGAGGTAAAGATTTTTTTTTGTTAAGCTTAAACACATAGTTGGTCTTTTTTATATCAACAATTCTATTTTATATGAAAATTGTTACCATTATCAACTTGCTTGGTGAACTACTGATAAGATGATGCTTTAGTACTCTTCTGTGGATCAATATCTTGTGTAACAATTCATTAACCAATGAGTTAATCAACTTTCAACTGTATGTCATGTTAAATTTCATACCTTGGCATTATTTACTGAAATACATATTCTGTACTTTTGAAGTATTGCAAAATTTATGTCAGTTCATTGCTTTTGAGAAGATTTCTATGAAAATATTATTCTAAGTTGTATTATATTGTATATATTGGTATTATTTAACAATAACATTTCCATTTTTAACTCAAAATGTTTTATCTTACTTTTGGATTAAAATGTTTGAATGGTATGAACTCAATCATCATTGTTTGTTATAGTGGTATAATTAGTACAAGAAAATTATTAGGTGAACCCTCTCAAGCAGGTCCAGGTGAGCATTTGTACCATATGTAGGGTCTGTAGAGAGCCCCATTCCTTATTAGCAAATAACTTTGTTTTGAAATCTGGTGGAAAACAACATTCAACCAAATCAAAAGAATTTTTTCACTGATGGTTAGGTCTCTATCATAACTTCTTGTTCATGATTCTAAAACAATTTTAATTTCCAAAAGGAAAGTCACTTTAAGAAAATGTTAATTGTTTTGAGTTTTTTTTTCACATGCTACATAAAATATTTTCTTTCAGTTCAGTTATCAAAATCATATGAAAACACATTTTTATACTCCTATTCATTTCCAGTATATGCTCACGTTAAGTATCAAGTTTGTTCCACCTGAAATGATCCTGAGGCGGATACCATCGTCAAAAACTGTTGGAATGTTTGGTGTTAAGATACAGCAAGTGTGCAAGTAAGATAAAATATTTTCTAAAAGTCTCATTTGTTTTTTTATTCATTTTAATTTAATTTTGAAGTTATGATTATATACATAAGTATATATTCTAGCAATTTGACCCAATTAACCCAACTGAGTCAGGTCTTCCTATGGTCACGGGTCAAAGGCCATATCATTATGTTTGTAAATTATAATTCAAATTTTAGTATTATACATTATTTAATTTCTTAATTTAAAAGTAAATATTAAAAAACACCTAAATATCAATTTTTGTGTGTCACGTAGTATGTTGAATGCAACATTGGTTCAGATTAGATGTTTATAATGTCCAAATACAAAAATATATAGTTAGATCTAGAATCAGTATTGCTGTTAATACCTATTCTTAGCTGTTAAAAGTTATTTAAATAACTTTAGCTTGATTGAATAAATTTATACAAAGTTCATAATTTAGGAATTTAAGTATGAAATTATACAACTTTACCTTGAAATAATTCATTAAACTATGACATTTAATAGCGAAACAAGAGAGGGGAATGTAAATATATAATAATTGTAATTAATTTAGTAATCTTAAATTTTTGCTTGTTGTCATGCTAGAATCACTTTATATAGCTGATGTGTATTTTTAAACACAGTGGATTAAAATTGCTCAGAGCTCACCTTCTATTGTAATTTTCATCTTGCTGTTTTAGAAAAGAGAAGAACACCATACCCTTTATCATTACTAGCTGTATACGTGAAGTTGAGAAACGGGGTATGAACGAAGTAGGAATTTACAGAGTTTCTGGGTCAGCATCTGATGTTCAGCGGCTCAAAAAGACATTTGAAACAAGCAAGTGTTTTAAAACTTAATATTTCCAATTTTAAGTATATTAAAGATGTTTGATTTTTGTGTTATGTTTTTACCCTAGAATTACCAATATATGGACCCTTTCTACTTTTTATACATGTTTTTTGTAACTAATTATGCAGCAAGTTGCTTGTGAGTTCATGATTATTGGTTTCAGGGTATATTATAAAATACAAGACACACAAAAAATTCTTCCTATATTGTAATTAATTAAACTAATTATTCCTATTTATACTACTTAGAAAGTGAGTGATTTTTAAGTAATTTTTTTACACCGAATGTTGTAACAGGTAAGTATGTAAAATTACTTGAAATTAAGACCCCACCAGTAGTGAATGGTATGTAAATAAGTTGATAATCAGAGAAATAAAATATTTTCTCTCTGTGTTGTCTTGTACACATTTAAAAACATTGTTTCTTCATTCTCTTCAATGTGTATTTTGTTTTAATAATAATGTTCTTACTGTATGTTTTAACAGCTTCTCTATTTTGTTTAATGTATTTTGCAGTTATGTTAAATTACATATGTATAAAGGAAATGTAGGTATTTTATATATTTTAATAGCTTTTATGGTACTCTAGTTTGTTCACATTTTACAAATTAATGTTTAATTCTACTGCTGTGTATTGGGAAAACTTTTTTAGTACTGTCATTGTATATTCTAAAAGCTTCTCTGTTTCTTATTACTGTTGTTGTATGTTCTAAAATATTATCTTTTTTACTTAATTTTGCTGTTATTTATTTTAAAAGCTTCTCCATTATGTTTAATTCTGCTATTGTTTATTCTGAAAGCATCTTTGTTTTATTTAATTCTACCATGGTGTATTCCAAAAACTTCTCTTTTTCATTTAATGCTATCAGCATAAGAAAATTCCAGATTTTATAGTTCCTAAATATATAGCTTTACTATAAGTTTAGAAGTTAATAATCACATATACTGGTGGTTAAGAAATTTAAAATGTTCAATGAGCTCTTTTTCCCATTTAGATCTCTATGAGGCAGAACAATTACTCAAGGAAGTTGATATTCACACAGTGACTGGTCTTTTGAAGTTATATTTGAGAGAGTTGCCTGATTCACTATTCACTGACAGCCTGTACAATATGTTTTTTGAAGCTTTTAGTAAGTTGTTAATTGTAGAATATTTTAGGTGTGGCTGTAAAACTACAACTATTCTGCATATCATTTGTCAAACATACAGTGTTTGTATGTGCATAGATTGTCTTGAAACGACCTTTTTTTATGCTCTAGACATTAAACTTTTTGGAAAATTGAAAATGATAACTTTAGTAAAAATTGACAATTTCTTAAAAACCAACTCGTACCTCCTTGCAAACAACCTCATAAAATCCAAGTCTATGAATAAACACACACCTGTCTGTGATCATGTATCATGTGACCATTGTTAATCTGACAGTCAAGGTATATTACGTAACAGATATCTGAAATTCAAGCCATTAGCAATGTTCAGACTCTGGTTAAATATTTTGGGGCAAAAAGAATTTCAATTTAAGAGGGAGTTTTGTGTTATGTGTTAGGCCAGTCATGAAATGTAAGCTTTGAAATGACTAGAGTATATTAATCACTGTTTTCAAAATTTAAATCAGTAACAGTAACTATGGTGATCAACAGTATGAAATTAGGCTTAATGATAATAAACATAAACGCTGAATTTCTGTGATCTTCCTTGTTAAAAAGTAATGTTTAAGAAATAACAACACTTATTGCTATAAAAATACAATACAAAGAGATGGGAGAGAAAAATCAATTGTATATCAGGTATTAAATAAACAAAGTAAAAAACCAGTTTTTTATAAGGGGTTTGTAACCAGATAGCCAGCATATAAAGTTACTGCAAGAGTTCAGGAGAGTAGATTTAATTAAAATTAGTTTACGTTGTTGACTGTGGGATACTCTATGGGTAAAAACTCTTAACCTTATTTTAAGAAAGCTATGTGTCATTACAATGTTGACTGTGTGATAATCAGTGGATAAAAACTTTTAACCGTATTTTGAGAAAGCTGGTGTCATTATAATGTTAACTGTGGGATCCTCTTTGGGTAAAAACTCTTTAACCTTATTTTAAGAAAGCTGTGTGCCATTATAATGTTGACTGTGTGATTCTTTATTGGTAAAAACTCTTAACTACATTTTAAGAATGCTGTGTGTAATTGTAATTAATGAGAGAATCCAGCATCATTTTGTTTGTTTAATACTTTGTACTATGTATCAGACATTATCATAACTACATGTAAATTTGTGTTCAGTGTGTGTATTGGTGTAATATGGGTATCAGAAACTACTTTTTTAGTAATATACGCTGAGTGGTCACAAGTAAATAGACACCTAATTTTTTGTCATTTAACTGATTTATGCTAACTAATTTGTGTTCACAGAGCACTATATAAATGGAAATGGTCCACACACTAATTATCTTGTGCTACAACATGCCTAGAACTCAAGGTTCTCTCGAATTGTCAGATTTTGTTAGAGGAAGGATAGTTGGAAAAGAAGATGATGGAATAAGTCAGCAGCAATTTTCTCAGAATTTGGGAATCCCGATTTCGACAGTCAACAGGATCATCGTGCAGATCAGGAAACACGGCAAGGAAACAACTGAGCA